CCTGGGGCCAAGTAAGGCACAAAGGTTATGTGACCCCATCTGCCTTCCTCTAACTTCTACTGCCCCATCCCAGCCTCCTTCAGCCCAAATCCCCACATCTACTCTGTCTGGGCTAATGAAGGTAACAACCTACAGCAGCCTGTGGACTATTATCTCCAAAGCATTGGCCCTGTCTGCTCCAAGTTACATAGTAACTACCGGGATAGCATTAGCACCTGTAAAATACCACTTGCTGGAGGTTATTAGGCACGTTACTGTCTGAAGTTTCACAAGCAGCTGTGGAAGAAGTTTGTCCATTTGATAAAAGAATAAACCAAACCGAGAGAAGTTAAGCAGCAAGTTCAAGGTTGCGCTTCAAGGGAAAGATAGTGCCAGGTTTCAAACGCAATTCACCTGACTCCAAAGCTCATCAGCCACCATGCAGCTCCAATTGACCCAGGGCTGTTCAGCTGGAGGGTATTACAAGTGTCCCCAAATCAGCAACAGCCTATGTTTCTTGCTGATGCTGTGGGAGGAGCCAAGGGTCCAGCCTCAGGTTCGTCACTGTGCACCATAGCCAGCCAGGTCATTCCCTTGCCCCAGCCTCAGTTTCTCCATCTGAAGAATGAGGATTGGACTGGAGCTCCAGCATAGCTCCAGTCCAGATTTTAACAACATACACATCTGGAAATTTGTCCTGGTGGCCACCTTCCAGATCCTTAAGGGTTCAATCTGGTCCCTCTTTCTGGACTTAATGCAAGATTTGGATTTGGACAGTTTCCTGTGTTTGCAGGTGGTTGTTGTTGCCTAAACCCAAGCCATGAAATATAATTTGAAGCATAAAATAGCATGAAGAAGAAAACTCTGGGGGCTTCAGAATGAGGCACCAGCAATCAATTGCCACCTTCCTCCTTATCCTAAAGGCAGCCTGTATTTACTGAGAACCTATAAGTGCAGAGCCATGAGCTCAGGCCTTTGTATGGTCATGTTGCCTGTCCTCTTCCAGCAATATTGAGATAAGCGCACACACTGCCTTCAAATGGCAGGAGACAAAACAGGCTCTCAGTGGTCAAGTGACTTTCCCAAAGTGACACAGGTCTTAAGTGACAAAACTGGGATTCAAAGATGCTCTTAATCCATATACTGCACTCCTTCCTGGTATTCTCCATTCACGCCAGGGCTAACGCCTGGAGTATCTAGGCCTGGCATTTAATGAGCCTGCTAAAGGGCAGCTCAGGTCAGCTTATCATCCTATTTTGAATCGCAATGTCCACCAGACAGATTATCCTCCTGACAAGTCTCCTCTACAACAGTTCTACAAAATTCTTTTCATAAAACCCAGTTACTGGAGAAATGGAGCCTCTACTCCTCTCTTTCTCCTCTCACCTGTTCTCCTATGACATATTGTTGGTTACCAACATCTCTTGCTATTTATCTCCTCTTAATAAGCCCTGTCCCCTCTCAGAACGCTGTTTAACATTGCACCACTTAATTTCTCCTCGAGGCAAAATCTGCCAGATGGAGTCCTTGTCCCAAGCCATGTTGGTTTGTCTTATTTTTAAACAGCAGTGAACATTGCATGAAACTAAAATAGCAGCCAGTTTCCAGGTGCAAACTCACAGCACAAGGGGACAGTGGACAGTGTGTGTGAACAGGCCCACCTGGGGCAGCTGTTCTGAACAGGCTGGACTGAGGTTGACCCCCATAGGCAGCTTCTGCCAGCTGCCGGTCACATCTGGGCCTAATCCCAAACAGAAGCATGCTCCTCTAACACTTCAGCTGGATTCTGCTACTCACCACCTCCCTGGCTAGACCCTCAGGCTGTGCAGCCCTGGCTTTTATAGAGACACATTCCTGAGAGTGAAGAAGGCAAAGGAGATGCCAGAGAATTGAGGGGGTGAACTGCAAGAAAATTCCCTTTGTGTGCCTCCCTTATTTCGTCACTAAACGTTTTGTGTTAGTATTGTATTGCACAGCTATCACTAGCTTGCTGGAAATGTACTTCTTCAAATTATGTGTTACTAAACTATGTCCACCACCAAAAATTTGTTTTCTTAAGACACGTACCACAAAATCATGTTGAGCCCATAGCTTAGTCCTCCTGGACACCCAATGGTCTAGTGTGGATGGTATGCGTGCCTGTCTGAACAGCACAGACCCAAAGATGAGCAGTCACTGTGGGGAGGGCAAACCAGTAACTGGAAAAGTCCTTTCTCTGCTGTGTGCTGTCCGAAAGGAGAGAGGATGACATATGAAGGAATGGCAGAGGCAACAGGACAGCGGTGACCTCCTCAGAATCTGAGGAGTAAGAGGAATATGGAGGGGGCTGGTCTGGTAGGGCATACTGCTCGCAAGTGCCTCATTAATCTTGTGATGGCTCCATCAGGATGGTGATTGACAGGACCGCATCACAGCCCCATTTACAGAACTGATTGCTCATAAACACATGTATGCCTGAGCTCACCTCCAGGGCCCTCTGCCTGCCTTCATCTTAATAGCCACCTCCCATAATAAGTAGAGTCCTTTATTAGAAAGAAAGAGTGAAATTCAGTGTCCATAGATGAGATGCTGGGTCACTGACTTTGTTTTACCTCAGAAGGCACCAATCCCAGCCAACCTTTGCCCAATCCTTTGGACCAGTGAGCTCTCGAAGCACCATCAGGATATTGCTTGAAAATCTTTTTCCTAAGCTCAACCTCAAACACCAGACAGAACATTCAGATTATAGCACAACTGATAACCCATCATTCCAAAGCATTATCCAGTAGATCACAAAAGAATGATGACCTCTTGTTCCTTGTGGTAGTGTTTAATAATCCTTTTCTAAACCATCTCTCAAAAAGAAAAACAGTATGATAGAAAACCAGTCCCTCCTTCAGCATGCAAGAACCATCTCCTCCCCAAGAGTACAGAGCATTCTAATGCATTTAAAATTCATTATACTTCAATACTTAAACAGCAGCCCCCAACATGCTTTGCAGAACACAATATAGCCCCAAGTCAGTAAAGAGACTGAAGTGTTTGTCAGTCACAACGGCACTCACCCGAAACGTATAAATAAGCAGATTTCCAATGATATATATTTCTGAGGTGACACAGTTAAGTGACCCCGTGACTGCCCCTATTCTTCAGTTTTAAAAAGTGATATGAAATAGAGTAGAAATATACACTGAGATAAGCCATTCAGAGGTCCTTGAATGCTTCTGCATGTAAGGGAGAACTGTGACTAAAATGTTACAGACACATTGCCCCCAACACTTAGAAGTGACTTCAGTGATAATCTGGATGGTGTTGCTCATGGATTGGTCAAGCTGAGTCTGCAGCACTGAGACCCTGGAGCCAGGAGTCACTGCCTCGAGACCACCCCTCATCACCATCTCTGATTATTTTAAAGACTGATCACTCTTTCCTTGGCTTTTCACATGGAGGCAGCTTCATTTCAGGGGTCTGAGGAAGACTTCTGGAAGAATCTCTGATGACCAGGAAAGGCTTATCTGGGGTTCTCCAGAGAGCCTCAAAGTGGCAAGGAACACACCAAATACCTTACTTTCTCTGTGATAAAGCAGACTTGGAAGCCTGGGGCTGCTTAATTCCAAGAAACAACTTGCCCTGAGGGCCTCAGCTGTAGAGTAGCAAGCACAAAAGAGAACCTGATGCTCCAGGCATCAGGAACCTGATGTGTCCAGCTTGCAGCCAGGCAGCCTTCCAAGAGCCCACACCACCAGAAAAAAATCTTGAAATTGTTATACAAAGAATAATTGAGGATACTTTGAATGTTACACCTGGGTTCACATTGCCCAAAAGGCTTTACAGGACCCCTGATAGATGCCTTGGAATATTTTTTTGCAAAGCAGAAGATAGGATAGACCAGACCCTCTAGGAGAGCAGAAATCATCTTTAAATATTTGGCTAAACCAAGAGAAGAGCCTCCACAATGATGTGAAAGCCAAAAGCATTGGGACAGCAGCACAGGAGGGGAGGAAGCCCAGCTGACCCCGCCGAAAATGGCGCGGCAAGCTGAGCACAGAAGCTGTGGGCCTCGGGCCGTGCTGGGTCCCAGTTCATGTTTCGCTTCTGTTTTGGGAGGCTCTGAGGGAAAATATTTATTTATGCCAACAGACTATTATGCAAGTCAATGAAATATTAATGACATTAGTGCTCAGCAGGGTAGAAATGCTAAATTTGTCATTGTTGCTGCTCCTGCTATGATCTAAGCTTAATAAATTGAGTGTGTCATTTGCTCAGATTTCCTCAGCCCCTTGGTTCAATTCTGTCATTACTAAGAGTCCCTTCCCATCAAAGTTTCCGGTGCCTTCTTCCTGATGCCAAGGCTATGGAGAATTTTCTTATCACTGCCCTAAGTATCCCTAGATGTGACCAATGTATTCATCTTTATTACTGCCATTCTTTTCCCCTTAATCAAAAACAATACAGCTGAGAGCAGTGTCAAATATATATAGTCCTAGCACTCTGAGAAACTGAGGTAGTTCTGCAAGCTCAGGCCCATCCTGGGCAAATTCAGTGACTTAGACTCCGTCTCAAAGGGCTGGGACTGTAGCTCAGCGCCAAGGTCCTGGGTTCAAATCCCAGTACTACAAAAAAATCTTAATCCCAGTTCTTTGCAATGTTGCTTTCATTGGTCTTTGGTGATTACTGGCCATGCTGGCAAATGGCATACATTAATAGTACCACTCATACAGAATTAAGTCCCTTTAAAATTTTTTTTCTTCCTAAGAAAGCAAAAGCTACACAGTTCCCATTCAGTGGCCCTCAGCCTGCAGTTAATCAAATTCTAAGTATCACAAGAACACATTCTTTGCTACTGGGTTTCTATAAATCATGGCTCACTGTCTCGCAGAGATGATGATGGCGGCCATTTGGAGCCATTTGGGAATCCAGAGTAGTCTTGTGACAGGCGGACTTGGGGAGTATTTAGGTGCAGGTGGAACCCCCTCCACTGACTGATAAGTTTCCTAAGGCATCTTAAAGCTCACTGAAACCCTGTCTTCCTTCTACCCCAGGAGAGAGCAGAGCTTCGTGCAGAAGCGCTGGAAGGATGTGCGCGTGGGAGACTTCGTCCAAATGCAGTGCAATGAGGTCATCCCCGCAGACATCCTGCTCCTCTTCTCCTCGGACCCCAGTGGGATCTGCCACCTGGAAACTGCCAACCTGGATGGGGAGACGAACCTCAAGCAGCGATGTGTGGTGAAGGGCTTCTCACAGCAGGTAGGACCCACGCTGTGATCATCCGTGCAGGGGTTACAGGGACACAGCCAGCTCATGTTGCTGGGAAACTGAACCTGCACAAGGGGAAAGCAGCCAATACCTCTTTCCCTGGCATGTTAGAAACACTGGCTCCTCTGAGACAGATTTTCTGCCCATATCCCAGACAAGGAAACTGAGGCTCAGCAAAGCTAAATAAATTGCTGGTGGCATCAGAGTTCCTAAACAGAGACTCATTCTGTTCATCTGAAAAAATCACTCTATGCTTAAAGCCAAGGAGTCTAAGAACTGGTCACATGCTCCTGTTTAATCCTCTCTTCTGTGTCCACGCCAGCTCCTCCTGCCCAGCACTGCCCCATGCCCATGAACCAATACTCCTGTGCCCCTTCCCCAGCAGCGGGAGAGTATGAGAACTATTTTTCCATTTCAGCCTTCCTCTCTGAGGCAGGAATCCATCACTGACCCTTCTATTTAGCCCTCAAGCTTACCCCAAAGTCACCTTGGACATCCTAGGAAAAGCATTATTGTGAGGTTGTGAGCTCAGGCTCTGGGGTCTGATATCTAGATTTAAAGACCAAACACTGCCATTTACTGGCTGCCACACCTTAGTTTCTTCATCTAGAAAATGAGGACAAAATAACACCTTCCCTCAGGGTAATTCTAGATACTAAATGACATAGATCACAGCATGAAGGCAGGTATAGGGTAAGGGATTAATAAGTAGTTGGTACTGGTACCAGTGGTTTTTGCAAGCAATGTGCATTGACCTATTGAGGCTTGATTTCCCACCCGGCACCTTTCTCTAGCCACGGGAAAAGAATAACATTCTATTGCTTTTCTTCACTCTGCCATTCTTTGGCTGAGGAGAAATCAAATGAAGTCAGAGGACTGGAGAGAAAGAAGGCAACGTTCATTATTCCTCAGAAGGTCTCATAAACTGGGCTTCACTCACTTAGATGGTTCCTTCTCCAAAGAAGACAGCACATCCTGCCTTACCTCCCGCCCCTGAAGCACCTGACAAGCAGTTCTCATAAAGTCATCATTTAGCTGGACATTGTAGCATACACCCGTAATGCCAGCAGCATGAGAGGCTGAGCCAGGAGGATCACAAGTTTGAACATGGCCTGGGCAAGTTAGCGAGGCAGGAAGATGCTATCTCAACCTGCCTTGCAAGTGTGCAGTCATCCCTGGTACTGATAAAAAAAAAATGAAAAAGACAAAAAAAAAAGTGAAAAAAAAAAGTAAAATGAGGTGGGGATGTAGCTCGAGCAAAGGCCTTAGGTTCAATCCCCAATGCTGCCAATAAATAATAATAATAATTCCTTTTGGTGTGAACTGAGTCCTCAAAAGTCTCTTCTTGGCCTTTCAGTGGGAATGCTAACAGCTCTCCCTAAGTTTTGAAATTATATTTAAAAAAAGATAAGACAAGTGAAGAACAAGGTATAGAATTTGTCCCCACTTTGTAAAACTGTCCCTGCTGCCACTGTGGCTGCAACTGCTGCCACCAGAAATGAGAGCAACCCTCACTGGGTCACCATCACCATCACCCAGCTGTCTGTTCACGGGTCTGCAACCTCTGAGTCAGTCGCTGAGCTGAGGCATGGCCTCTGGATTGGTCGCCCCTTTGCTTGTCTCTCCTACAGTCACTGAGACACCCTAGTGTTTTTGAAAAGCAGGAGCAGCTCAGGTCTGAGTTCACAAAGTTCTTCTAGACCGCCAGTAACAATCTACACTGGGGCTTAGGGCCCAGGAGCCTGGTTTCATGACCAAAGGTTTTCAAATCTTTTGCATCATTAGTTAGTATGTAATAAATATATGTTTTACACACACATATGCAAGTGCAGGTATGAACCTGTGTGTGTGCATATATGTGTAAGCCTAGCACCTAAGCCTGACAGCATGCATGGCACGCTGAGGTTATTATTTAAGTCCTAAGAGCAGTAAACTCACATTTGCTTGTGAATCTCCCCGTCACCCACCCTACCCTCAATCTCCACATCCAATTCTGAATCTTTTTCACTCTTTCTTGGGCAATCACTTCAGTGCTGTTGTATTTCAACCAGTGCCTTTTCTTTCTGTCTCTGGCAGAAACTCCCAAACTGTTTCTTGCATATTAATTAACAATTTGGGATTTAACTTGAATGAAGTCAGGAGAAAGGGTCATTCACACTCCAGTGCTCTGGACCAGCCAACTTAATAAGCCTCTCATACTTTAACCTTGAATTCTCACAGGATACTTGGCATTTTTTTAAAAAAAGTAAATTCATATATGAAAAAAAAAAAGATTTATTTGACCTTTAAGATTTCCAGAGTTCTCTATTCTTGTTCTGATTCTCCCCTTCCCTTTGCTCAAGAGTAGTTTTTCCCCTAATTCAGTAATAAACAGGAGTCCACACTATGGACTCTGTATGACTGTCTGACTCTGTATGACTGTATGACTGTCACAACAGCCCAAGACATGGGTGCTCTCACTGTCTTCCGTTTACACCTAAGGAAACTGGGCATAGACAGTTCGTGTAACTTGCTCTCAGTCACTGAGCTGGAGCAGTTGGAACCAGAATTCCAAGCCCCAGCTCTGAAAATCTAGAGCAGCTCAGCTCCCTGGCCCTTTGTTTACCTAGAGATGCTGACTCAAATGCACATAGCTATCACTTTCAATATTCAGTCCAGGTAGAAGCATCCAGCTGGCAGGAAAAATTTAAGTAGTACAATTAAATTTCAGCCCACTCCCTAGGGAAGAAGGGTTTGGGCTGCTCTCTGCTAGCTTCTCCCTTAAAAAGATTCCTGAGGGTGGATGACTCTTGGCTAAGACTATGCCATAGGATTGCACCAATGTTTTGAACAACATTGTGGAGGAGCATTCCAAAACACATAACGTTATGAAGTCAAATAAGATTAGAAGACAGTAAGTTACCAGTTTTAAATTTTGTGTATTGCTGAACTTGTCTGATATTTTAATAAGACCCAAGAAGAAAAGGAGCGGGTACTAACATAGATTCCTAAACATTTAACCATCAAAACTTTTTACTCCACGGATTATATCCCAGAACTACCATAGGATCAATAGATCGACACTTAAAAGATTTGCTGCAGATAACAGAAGCGATGCTTAGGAGTGCATCACAACCATCTCTGGGGAAACTTTTTAATAGGCACGCATCCATCCTTCCCTACTGCCACCACTGTATTACGATCCACCAGAACTGAGCAGGGAACTGAGTGTGCCTATTTTGAAAACATTACCTCAGCTGATCTTGGCAGGAATCTACCATCACCTTTTTGAAACCATATTAAAAGAAAAAAGAAAGAAAGGAATCACACCAGTACTTCACCCAGAAAACCACTGGTTACCACGAGAAAACCAAGCTAGCACCCAGGTGCTTCTTACCGTGTGCTGGTGATTGTGCCCACTACATCTCTGTCTGTCCCTACCACCACCCTATGAGCTGGGCATCCCTGCCTTCATTCTGCATGTGAAACTCAGACACAGAAAAGATGAGTCTTACCAATCGTCTCAGATTCTGAACATCGACAAGTACGGTTTGTTTCCAATGTGTTACATGAGGAGTATCAGTGGCTTTGGTTAACTTGTCTTCCCTCTAAATCCCTATAGTCTACGATTCCTTTATCTTCCCAAAGGGGTTTTTTAACCCCTGATATTTGCAGAAATTTCCTCCCCCACACATCCACCCACTCAAGATTTCTACTTGCTTGTTCAATATTTATAGATTACTAAATTCTGTTAAAGTCTGTTAAATTTGGTTTCTCTAAACCAGAGTTTCTCAAGGCAGACTATGCCAGTTTAGGTTTTTGGTTAGCTGGTTGGCTTCTTCCATGTTGGGAATTGAACCCAGACACTTCACACTGATGTACATCATCCTCGTTTCTTTTTATCTTTTTTTTTCCCTTTCTTTTTTAGACAGGGTATTGCTAAATTGCCTGTGCCCAGCTCAAGCTTTCAGTCTTCCTGCCTGAGCCTTCCAGATTGCTGTAATTATAGATGTGTGCCACTATACTTGGATACCAAACAGTTAAAATAATTTAAAAACAGGTCATGAAAAATACAGTTCGCAATCAAGTCAACAAGTCAAATTGGGAAGCTGGCATTTTGTGGATCCGTCTTGGAGGACCCCGGGCTCATTAACATATCACGGTTTTTCAGAAGGTGGAGAGGCAAAGGTCTGTTAAACTTGAACTGCAGGCTCTCCAACTTATTTGAGCTCAGAATCATTTTCAGCACAAATACTTATTAATATACTTATGGAAATTTGGGGGAAATATTAACCTAGACAGTGGCACAGATATCATCATAACAGGTGAAGAGTGACAGAAAAATTAACAATCCTCCTGCTGCAGGCAGTTATCCTGCCCTTTCTTGATTAGAATCAAATGGAATTACAAACATTAAGAGCTTCTGGAAAGCTTCCCTGACACCGCAGTTGCCAAACCGTCTTTTTCAATCTTTTTCTCAGAATTCAACTTGACCAAATTAATTATTTTTTCAATTGGAAACTTTATTAGTGATAAGCTATCTTTAAAGTCACAAAATTATTGACCTGTTTGTAAAATACTAATTCTCCCTCTTCTGGAAAAAAAGGTTGGGGGATGGGATAGATCCAAAATAAGGATTATGCTAAATTCTGCCCAGTGGGTAACACTTGATTAGGGAATTAAATTGTGCAGTTTTCTCCTTGGTAATACTAGTACCCAGAACTTTTGCTTTGGGAGGGTTTTAGCTTAGAATGTAACATCTGAAAATGGGTAGACATTCATTTTGGTCTTTGAAAAACTTAACCAAGCAAAAAAATCAGAGAGGAATCCTTCCAACTAATGCTTTAGACCAAACGTGTTCCTGGCTATCTCTCATCCAAATCCTTGAAGGCTAAGTCCTAAAGCAGGTGTCAGGTCATTTCTCAGCACAGTTAGGAACTTGCTAAGCCAAGTCTGGCCCATAGACAATTCATGTCAGCATCAGGCAGAGCTTACTGGAAAGGTGGGGTCTC